TTGTAAGTGCTGCTAAAGCTCGTCCTCCCTCGCGCTGAAAGGCGAAGCTAGCGGTCGGTCTGCCAGGAAAGCCGCATAGCGCCAGAGAGCGCCTGATCTCTTTCATAGTGTTCCTGTAGACTTCGGGGCCAGAATGTCGGAGAGGACCTGCAATGCCCTTTGTTCATCACTGCACCTCCCGGCTCAGTCGGTTATCTGCCTCCCCGCTCGAGTGGCTAACGGATCTATGAGAGTCAAAAATTTGAAGCGTTGTGTGGTCCGGACCCTGGGCCGGCCTGAGAGTACTTGCGACAGGCTTGTAAGCACGAAGGCCACCCCCAAAGATGCTGACCCAAACGCCCTTCTCCCAGGGCATCACAAACTTCACTGGGACGGTCCGTTCTATGGCAGCGCGAACTTCCACGGGTGTACTCGACGAAGCTACCTGCACGGGGCTTTTGCGCTTGCTGGCCCGGACTTGGCTGACAACTGGCTGATCATTGACAACCGGCGAAACACAGCCTGCCTGCTCGGAGTCGACTGCCACATCAACCCACGACCCAAGTGATGTGTCTTCTTGTTCGCGTTCTACCGATTCATCGAAGACCCCTTCCTCCTGCAGAAACAGGCTGGGTGTGGAAGCCTCGTCGTCTGTTCGAGCTGTGTCGTCGTCGCCCCGATTCGGTGTCCACCCTTTCCGGAAGCCCCATTTAGTCCCGAAAGTCGAGGTTCAAGGCGATCCCTCCCAGGGTGGGGGGAAAGCAAACAATGGGCCGCCCCGGTTTGGGGACGAAAGCAAACACACCTAGGATATGCAACATGTCAAAGCGGGAGCTGCATTCACGAAACACCGCCGCAGGCCTACCGAACGTTGCGCGTCCTCCCCTGCCCCGATGACGTAGATGTGGACGGAGAGTGTCCTGACGGGGTGACAATGAACTCGAAACCCAAACCACAACCTGGCCTCAACCAGAATTTGACGTAGGCGACGGTCAGAATTCCGCCAACCCTTGAACGGGCACTTGCCCCAGGTGGCAAGTTTCTCAACACACTAAGCCACTAAGCTGGCCCTTTGAGTTGTAAGCCGGCGCTAGCAAGTCGGATCCCAGAAAACCGCGAGCACAAGGGCCCGCCTCAATCCGACCTGGCATCGTTGGCAATGCATGATCCGAGCAGCGAGCGTACTGCGCCTGGCCGGCCTGTTTTGACCCGGAATCAGCTTGCCTGACCAGGCGAAACTTCAAAAGCAAAACACCGGAGACGGCACTCCGGGAAAGCCTCGGGGTCCAGGCCACCTGAATACTGACCTGAGCACCGGAGGCCACTTGTCGTCATCCTTACCATCGAGGGCCTGCCTGAAGGACCGACTCGCGGGTAAATGCGACCTGGCTCCAGAGTGCCCGATTCGTCCGTCTAAATGCTGCGAACACCAGTGGCCGCGCAAAGCCCCGAGGACCTGCCAGCAATTGGGAAACGCCAGTGATCTGTGACAGTCTTGTTTCTTCTCATTGGGCTGGCCTTTCCGTGCCCTTCAATGACTGCCAGGCTCGCTGTATTTGCCCCCCGACGAATGCGAGACTGAGCCCAACCTCCGGAAGAACACGGGAGGGATCCCGGCCCTCCCCGCTGAACCAGACATCCCAGCTGAGCCGACGGCACTACTGACTGCAAACTGCTGCGCGAAACGAAGCAGCAAAAACACTGGCAAAACGGTTCAGAAAACACTGCAAAGGCACAAGGCTGCAGCAGTACATGGCTGAGAGTGCAAGCGATTCAGTCGGAAGAAACCTTTCCATTCCATCACGAGCAGCGGATCGTGAACCGGTTCAAAAATGCTCTCAGTAGAAGGGCTTCCTGAATTCGGCACCAGCCTGCGCAGAGAGACATGATCGAGCACGTAGGGTGGGCAGTCCTTCGCAGCGACGTAATTGTGTCGGTTACGAGGCGCCGCTTCTTGCACTCCAGGGCCTCGGCTGAACCACACGCACTGCCACGCGCAAGCGCAGACCACATTCAACTTTCCAGGAGAACCTGAGGCCTGCACAGCCTTCAAATCTTGCTCGTGTCCAACCCACTTCTCAAAAGGCATGTTGGACTTCGCCAAGAGCAAATAGGCGAGCTCATCTAGCATGCAGTGGGGGCCAGCCCTGCAGCTGCTGAAGCCGAGACTGCATGTAGTTACATAAGTTCAAAAGACGCGGAAAACTTAGATTGGCCTCGGCCGCGGAGCATCCAAGATGCGCAGGACGTGGTCCGCTGCGGCCGCCCCGAGAGTGATGGTCTGGCCACGGAACCAAACCATGCCGAATGTGGTGCCCTTGCAGAGTTCTTCCTTGGAAGACACTGGTCAAGTGCTACTCGGCTACTAAAAGGACATGGCAACAGACATGATTTGTGCAACCTGGCAGCAAGCACCTGTTCGGCCTGCTGTTGATTGGTGATGATGCCGCCGACGTTGAAGCCGAAAAACATCTGCTCAGCCTTAACTGTATGCTGCTGCCAGCACTTTTTGTTTGAAGCTTAGGCATGCGCACGAAAATTTCAAGCTTAGCGTGGCACGGCTTGCACGGCGGCGACCTGCACCTTCTCGGACACACGCAAGGCCTTGAGGAAGTACTCCGCGTTGTCGATGAAGTCCTCGCATCTGTAGCACTTGTGGGCATCCATCACCTGGACTCCCCAACACCAAGGGCATTGGCTAAAGTCCTGCCGCACAAATAGTATCGCATGTTGTTTCTAAAACATTTTACACCCAGCCACGGCATGAGCTAGGACCGTGAAGACCAAGGCCGCTTCGAAGTGCTGGTCCTTCTTGGTCTGTAAGGCAATTGCCGTTGCGCGGCCGCTCATGTTTGCCTGCTATGTTCCAGGGTCTTAGCACCCAACGGCGAAAGAAAGCCACAAAAACACATTTCAGGGATATCAGTGCCGAAGTCATATACAACCCGGTGACAAGCCCAAACAAGAAGTACAATTCGCTGCCAAGCGGCGACAATGCCCTTGACGCTCTTTGTGACCTGTCGCGAGCAGAACTCCACGAAACTGGCACCTTATGCGGCTGGCGCTTTGGTTAGCCAACTCAGAGCGCAGCAGTCACGCACCAGCAACAAGACACAAGTCCACGAACTGTAGGCTAGCGCCAGCAAACACGCACAAGGAAGATGCCTACATACTGGACGGTCCACGACTGCCCTTGTGCTCTGAAGTGCCCGCTACACTCGACACATGAGTTACGGCAGAGTTACCGTCCAAATCAGACAAGAGGCAACGGTCTGCGCCTGCACAAGTCGGCCACTCGGTCTCATAAGGATTGAGGCCGGTCAATGCTGTAACTGAGAGTTCCTGCATGCGCTGGAACTCACTACAAACGAAGCTCAAATTCACACAGCTCACGAATGGGTCCTCCCAGTTGTAAGCATCAACGTACGGCTGCGTGAGCTCCAAGAACGCAACGAGATCCGCTTGCTTCGCGACTTCGTTGTCATCACCGTCAATATCACCTCAGACAAGACTTATGCACTACACTGCCTCTGCCTGAACAATCAATGGTGGCACCGTTGATCAGTTGATTTAAACCAGACGAGCCACCGCCAGCCATTGCTGTGTTCAGCAAGCCCTCACGGCTGAGGAGAATGGAGTTCCGCGGCAAAGGACCATAGCCGCTGGGCGGCTCCACGCCCTCAAGACCAGGGACGAAGCAAACACGAACACATGAGCCAACAATTCTAATCCCTTGTTGCCAACCAGCACCAAGATTCAACATAACTGTTCCAGGACGCAAGCAACGCAGGGATTCAACCACAGCGTTTTATTACTAGTTGCACACCCTTCCAGCGCAGCAATTTCACACACTCTTTGTTCAAGTCCTACTCACGATTCCCCCATGGTACGTGTCTACTATCTGATATCTACATCTGCATCCAACCAGTGCTTGGCTGGATCGTCCCACCTTCTGGCCTTCTGGCACAGTGTTCCATTTTAAACTTTACATATGAAGCCAAAGACGGGGTTTAAGTGCGTTAATATAGGTAGCCAAAAAAGGCTGTAAGTAAACTGACCTGTAAAACATCGAAGCAAGAGACGGTGTTTAAGTAAATTGACATGTGAAGCCAGGGGTTTGAGTAAATTGACATACATAGCCCCAAGCGGGGTTTAAGTAAATCGATATATTTCGCCCCAAACGGAGTTTAAGTAAATTGACATGCATAGGGCCAGACGGGGTTTTAAGTAGAGTCACATACATAGGCGCAAACACCGTTATAGTAAATTATTGCGCACAGGCCCAAACGGGGTTTAAGACATACACAGTCCCAAACCGGATTCAAGTAGACTGGCATATATAGGCCCAGACGTACATGGCTCCAAGCGAAGTTTATATAGATTGACATACATAGCCTCAGGCGGGGTGTAATTGAAAGGACATATATAACCGCAAGCGGGGTTTTAGTAAATTCACAAGTATAGCCCCAAGTGGGGTTTAAACAAATTGACATATAAAGCCCGAAAGAATTTAAGTAAGTTCAGTTGCATAAGCCCAAGTTTTAAGTTTCATCACCAATTGCTGCGCTGGCGCACCTCGGCTGCGCCGCTAAAAGCCGTTCAAAACAAGGCGCAGCCTCTAAAATTTAGGGTTTAGAGGTTTAGGGTTTAGGGTTTACAGTTTAGGCTTTAGGGTTTAGGGCAGGGGAATGGCAATGCTAGCTCAAGCGCATGGCCGGGAGTCTCGGAACGGGATGTTGGTTTTGGCAAGCACTCAGAGTGCTGCAGGCCGTGTCGGGGGCTGGAAGTCATGGGAGGTCAAATTACATCAACCCTGAAACCAACTCCGGACACATGGCTTCCGGCACACTGACATATCTGCCGACCTACCACTCTCACACGGACACAGTACAGGAGATACTGTAATGTCCGACCAAAACAGGGGCTGTAACACTCGAAAAGGTTTCGCATTGCACTACACCGGTATAATTAATCTGGCTAATCACTCCGACCCCTGAATTACTGCGCGGTGCTGGAAAGGCCTCCGCAGCAGACGCGCAGCTGAGCGCCCCGTGACCGAGAGCCACGAGCAGGGACGGAAGAAAGCGGATCACCTCTCCAGGCTTTAGGGTTTAGGATGATTTCTGCTGAAAAAGATCTAGTCTCTGAAGACGGCGATTGTGGCCATGATGATAATGGTGCTGACGGCTATGCAAATGGTTGGCGGCAGACCAAAAAAGAATTCTCCGTGAAACCCCTCCAAAACCTTCTCGTGATTAGCTTGCTGAGTGAGGATTTTGAGGGGGCTTTGAACGGTGCAGGTCATGCACAACCGACACGTCACAAACGAAATGTCACGGAAGGGCATGCAAGGGATTGCGGTTTCTGGCTCATTGCTCGAGGCTTTCGAACGGACAGAAACCCCACGGCCTTTCTGCACCTACTAAGCTGCCTTGCCCACGGTGCCGTCAAGGCGAATCATCCACTCAAACCCCACCTGAACTACCCGAAACCCTCATAAGGAAACCCGAAACCCCAAAGTCTGAAACCCGAAACCCCGAAGTCAAACCCTTCAACCTATTTGGGAGCTGCCGAAATTAGGGGTACCTTATTTTTGGCTCCTTGTAATAAGGATCCTACTATTTAGGGTACTAAAGTAGGGTCCCCTATTTTCGGAAACTCCCACTTCGATCAAATATGCTCGACCCTAGTCTCTAGAAGTAAAATCCCGCTGAGCGGTCACGAACTAGTTTCGGACCGGCTCCCTTGATAAGGACCCCTAGGGATATACCCTTAATATAGCTAGTCTATACCCATGATAGAGCCCATTGTAGGGTAGACAGCCCGCAATGAAAACCAGTGCTCAAAGACTGTCGACCATGGGGCATCCCAGAGACTCCTAGGATCCCTTGCTTAAGGAGTGTACCCCCTTAAATTATAGTAGGATCCCTGTATATGAATTAAGGTATGTTCCTTTTTAAACCCTAAACCCTATAGATCCCTTTAAGGATCCCTTTAAAGGAACCCTAAGGTATGTTCCTTAATTAAGGGATCCTAGGAGTCTCTGGGATCTTGAGAAAGTGGGGGAGCTGGGAGAAGGAGGGCAGGGGGGCTTGACGAATCAAACAACACTCGAAATGCTTAAGACTAGATGGTTAGTTGTCAAAATTAAGGTCCTTTTTAGAGGCCCAACAACGGACCATAATTTTGACAACCACCCAGATGTAGCCCCAACTTTTAGGGACAAACAAGCTTGCCTTCCCTGAATCTAGACCAGCTTTTCTTTCATGGAACTACTCCAAAAAAGAAATCGTCAGCCTACTTTTGGCACCAGCTTCGGGCTACCAAAGCGAGTCCGAAGCATTCCGGTGCCTTGGCGAGTTCACCCTAAACCCAGTCGTGAAACCCTAAACCCCACTCACGTCTTCGGCACTCCTGGACCCTAAACTCCATGACCCCTCTGCATCTCAAGCCCTATAACCTTTAAACCCCGAGCCCGAAGATGGCCTAAACCCTACCACACCCTACTGATTTGGGAGTTTCCGAAAATTAGGGGTACCTTATTTTGGGGTCCTTATAATAGGGATCCTACTATTTAGGGTACTATATTAGGGTCCCCTATAATGGGAAACTCCCATTTCTGACTGAACCCTAAAGCCTTGTTGGCTCGGCTCTATGGTTTAGGGTCTAGGGCGCTCAGGCAACACCGACGGCCCAGAGGAGCCTCCACCCGATGCTTCTCATCTGCAGCCGGGGAGGAAAAGTTTAGGGATGCATTGTTTTACATGGCCTGTGCTACGGTTTAGGCTCCGTGCTCTGCGTGTTTGTAACGGTTTTGTTAGAGTTGGCTTTTCGTGTTCAGGGTTTTAGGTGAGGGCTCAGGGTTGCCAGGGCTTCGGATCCAGGTAGAGCTATCGCGCTGATACAATTCCAGGGCGGAGAGATTCAAGGGCTGAGAGACTACATGCTATGAGGTTTAGGTCTTGAGATTTGGGATTGGGCTGGCTTCGGCTGATTTCCCAATTACAAAGACTTCATAACGAATCTCGAACATCAGGGATTGCGAGTCTGATAGCTGGGACGCCAACAGCGCCCAAAACCCAGCCCTAGACCCAACCTCCCCTGCTGAACTCCTGGACCCTCACCTGCGGCGGCATGCCGCAACGCCAGCGCTCCCCATCTTTGCGCCTGAGCTCAAAAAGCTCCACAGGTGGGACGAAAGTAGGTGGGGTAATCCCAAATACAGTATCCTTCCATGGGGGATCCTTAAACCTACCAGGACCTACCCTCATCCCAGCTATTGAGGCACCCATTAAGTTGCAGATCTTTCGCTCCTCCCACAAGGCACTGCGTTTAGGGGTTGGGCTCGGCTCGGCTTCGGGAACTTTGTGCTGAGCGGTTGGGTTTGAGGACCTTCCGGCTGATTCCCGGCGGCGTTTTCCTCGCATGTCAATGTGTTTCTCGGACAGTATCATCATGCTGCTCCTGCCGTGCTCAGAGGTCTGAAGTTCATGAAGTTGAAAGCCGTGTGATGCTCCAGACAAGCCAAATGAGACATGCAGCACTACAAGCATCCAGAGATAGAAGATCTGCTAGGAAAATAGAACCTACCAAGGGCGTCCTGAATCAGCACCGCAGAAGCTGGATCCATTAAACCCGAAGCCAGCAACCCTAAACCGAAGCCCTTCCAGACAGTAATCAAAGGCACGTCATAAATAGAACTGGATTTGCGGACACAGCACACTGTATTTGTAATAAGGAGCCCTATGGAATAATATAGAATCATATTGGGAAGTACCCTGCACCCAAAAGCCATGATTATTGAGGCTTCTATAGTCCAGGGGGAACAGGAGAGACCCTTCATCAGGACCCCTAGGTAATATACCCTTAATATGGTAGGGGTCCCCATTAAGGGCCCCTCCTGTTCCCCTTTGATATAGATGCCAGGGCAAGGAGCAGGTGAATCGCTGGAAGCCAGCTGCGCCAAGTCCGGCAGTCCCCCCTGACCTGGGCTTAAGAAGGGCTCTTCTCATAGGGACCCTTAGGGGCGGTAGGGGGAGGGGGGGTAGGGGGCCCCCCTTAATACCCATAACAAAGACCGAATAAGGCATATTTAAGGAAGTATACTCCCCTACCCCCCTAACCCGTTACCTGCTTAAGGGTCCTTATGACTTAGCAAGGGCTCTTCGGGTCTGGCTACGGTTAACGTGTTTTGGGGCAGCAGATCGCAGATCAGCGACACATCGCAACAAGCATGCTTTGCGGACTTTCGTGGCCATGTGCTGACTTTTTTTCTCGGTACTCGTGCATCAGAGGCACAAAGCTTTAAGACTGATTAACCCCGGACTCTACCCCACCAAGAACCCCAAACCTCAAACTAAAGCGCTTGCAGAACCTTTCTAGAACTTGTGTAGAACCCTTACAGAATCCCTATATCTTCAACCTGCTTTTTGCAGAAGCCCTATCGAAACCCATACTGGGGTTTCCGAAAATACGGTACCCCAATGAAGTACCCAAAGTAGTAGGATCCTTATAATAAGGACCCCAAGATGAGGTACCCCAATTGTCGGAAATGCCCATAGTATTTCTTGAAGCTGCTTTTCAAGGGGCCGGCGATCACCTGCACTCCGAGAGGATGAGCCGCCAGAGATGCCAGGGCTTTCGCTGCCTTATGTGCACTGAAAGATCCTCCTTAAACGGCTCTATAACCCAGAGACTCCAATCTCCCTTAATTAAGGAATATACCTTATATTATAGTAGGATCCCTAATATGATTTAGGGCATAATCCTTAATTAAGGGATATTGGAGTCTTTGGGAAGGGATCCTTAAAGGTTTCTACAAGGGATCCTTAGAGGGTTTTATAAGGATTATGAAGGACTCATGTTGGAAAGATGGGGACGGCCCACTCGAGCCTCACCACCGCCCCAACCTCACAAATTACCCAGGGATGTCGAAAGAGGGCAAGCGTTCACGGTGCGGGAGTTCGGTTTGCCGCTGCAAGGCTTAAAAGTGGTGCGGAATCCCAGAGACTCCGATATCCCTTAAGGATTATGCCTTAAATCATATTAAGGATCCTACTATGATTGACTGAAATCCCTAAACCCTATACCCAGAGACTCCAATATCCCTTAACTAAGGATAAGATTAAGGATCCTACTATGATTGAAGGAATATTCCTTAATTAAGGGATATTGGAGTCTCTGGGTTCCAGAGTTCAGGATCCCACCACCTTAAACCATGTCTGAGGCATCCACATCCTGCAGCGGAAACCCAAATAATGTTCTAGATTATAGCAGACATTATACTATACTGCAACCTGTACTGTATCTAAATATATATATATATATATATATATATATATATATATATATTAGACTATAACTGTTACCAATACTGTATGTCTGTATATTATGATACTATCTAAAGCCATAGTAGAAGATCGGGTGGCGTGTTCTCTGGCGTCCACCTGCTCCGTGGGCTTCCTTCCAGCTGCGGGCGCAGGATTCTTGAACTTCCCTGCCCTGTAGGGTTTCTTCAAGGGCTCCTTTAAGGGTTTCGTTTAGGGCTCCTTTTGGGGCTCCTGTAAGGGTTCCTTTAAGGGTTCCTTTTAAGGGTTCCTTTTCAGGGTTTATTTGAGGGTTCCTTTGAGGGTTCGTGGAAGGTTCCTGTAGGGTTTAGGGCTTAGGGGTTTGCCTGGCTTCCTAAGAGCCAAATACACCGAACCCCTCAACCCGAAACCCCTACTTGGAGGTTCATGGGTACTTATAAGTAGGGTGAAGAAGGGTAAATAACCCCACGTATAACCACCCCTGAACCTCCAAGTAGTCTTGGGGCATGATCGACTTAAACACGATCTCGGGGATGGGGATTCGCCCAGCTCGAGTTCCTTATATCTTGGGCACTGATGCAAACAGGGCTTCGTTCTAGGGTTTGGGGCTTGGGGCCTAGGGCCGTTTAGGGTCTCGTAGGTGGGGCGCACAAGCCAAAGAACCAGAGAAAGCAAGAGGCGGGATATAACTATGTGTGAACTCTGACCCTCAAAAGCCCGGCAGCCCGAACCCCTCGAAATGCGCTGCAAAATCCTCAACCCTTGGCGTCCATCCAAACCTCGATGAAAAAGCAGGACTGCATGTTTGAAAGCACCATGAGAACCGTAAACTTCAAGTCCCATAAGAATCCACACAAAAGACTCCACAAAACGGCCCTTTTATTCCTCAACCCTACGCCCTAAAATCCTAAACCCTTCAACCCCAAAATCCTAAACCCTAAACCCCAAACCCCCTAAACCTTAAACCCCTAAACCCTAAGCCCCTAAACCCCAAGCCCCTAAATCCAAAACCCCAAGGCCCTACGACCTAAACCCTCAGGGTAGCCCGGAGCCTCCGCAGCAGCCGGATCAGGTGGTGCACCGCCGGAGCCGACCGGGCCGCGCGAGGCCGCAAGTCCGGGCAGCCGAAGAGCAGCCAGGCCTAAGAAACTTATGTATGTATATCGAGAGAGATAGAGAGATCTATTTATTAGTTATGTTTATATATATATATATATATACATATATATATATAGATAGATAGATAGATAGATATAACTATATATATATATATACATAATGTGTAAACAATGATTTTAGGTTCAAGTTTTAAGGTATAAGGGCTTAGGGATTAGGGTTTAGGGGGTTCAGGGTTTTAGGGTATGGAATAAGGTTCAGGGATTAAGGTTTTGGGTTTGCCTAAGAGACGTGTAGAAAGGCTGGTTTTCGCATAAGAGACGTAAGGGGTGCTTATGACGAGAACCCTACAACTACTCGTGTCTGTGGCGCTTCTTTACAATCGAGTTCCCGCGTCGGGGGTCTTTTTAAACGAAAGGATCCAATACGTTTCATGATGCTATAAGGACCCTGGCTTTCTGGAACTCCCACAACCGAAAGGCTCTCTGGAAGTGTTGGGGGCTGAGATTTCAGGACTTCAAGTGTCAAGGTGTATATAGGAATTTCCGAAAATTGGGGGGCCTAATATAGTTCCCGAAATCGTAGGATCCTTTTTAAAAAGCACCCCAAAATAAGGTACCCCTAATTTTCGGAAACTCCCATATAGGAGTCATGGCTGAGGGTGGGACTGAAGACTCTGCTTTCGAGGGCAGGGCTTTTGCGGCATTGGTTTAGGCTTTTGCTTAGGGCTGAGGTTTTAAAGGTCTTAAAGATCACGTGCTGCTTATATGCTCCAGAAAAGAAAGCTGTCTCGAAGCAAGCCCCAGATTCATTCACTTAAGCACGGAATTCTGGGACCTAAACCCACTCCTGAGCCCTGGGGTTAGGGTTTAGACTTGCACGAAACGCCTCAACCACACAACCAGTCTGCCTCTCAAACTAGACGCCCGAGCTGCAAAGATCTGCGCGGCATCCGAATGCGTGGCATCCTCCAGTGTGTGGTCTGCGAGCACCTCCAACCCGCTTCAGGGCTGAAATTCGATCAAGGGTAGTGTAGGGGCCTTAAAATGTGGTATAGAAAATGTCGCTGTGAATATGAGTATACTAAGGAGCCCCCAAAATAGTATTGGTACGTTTTGAAGGCCCCTATATTCCAAGGCTTGAGGGCTTCAACTTTGGAGTTTAGGGCCGAAGGCTTGGAGATGTTTGCCGGGTAGTACCCAGCCTTGAAATCTCAAGGCCTTGCACTGAACCTTATAATATACGCCCAAACATACTACTTTGAGGGCTCCTCATGATGAGTATATAGTATAATATACCCCCAAACCTTATTCTCACTGAAACTCCGAAACCTCCGACAGGATCTTGATCACATCGTGCTGCTCTGGCGCCTTTCCTCGCAGCTCGAAGATAGAGTCGGCTCTTTCGTTTTGATCTCTGGTTTAAGGCTTATACGGTTTAGGGTTTGGGGTTTTAGGGTTTGCCTTATACACCCTAAACTTTGAACCCTGCAACCCTAAACCCCAGAGCCCCACAGCCCTACCATCCTAAACCGTAGCGTGGCCCGCAACTAAACCCCAAGCGCTAGACTCTAAACCCTTCCTTCTTGGCTCACGGGTCGCGGCCTGAGGTTCTAACCCGAGTTGGGAGGGGGGGCTTCGAGGCTTAAGTTCGTAGAAACCCCGCTTGAAAACCCCAACTTTTGCTGAAAGGGTCCACAATAAGACAGTCAAGAAAGAATTCCTCGGGCATTCGAATGAGATGCTCCACATGGCTTCTTGCCATGACACGGGGACTGCGTCGAGGAGTCTGCGGCTTTGGTGGTGCTGAAGGAACGCTTCGGACAACCCAGCGCGAATGGTGGAAAGATGTATACCTGCCTCGCCTGTGAGTAGCTGCGTAGCCCAGACAAAATCCACAACTGTAGGGGCCTTCATAATTTAGAATAGGGGTCTGATGCCCATCATACTATTTTTTTAGGAAGGGACCCCCAAAATAGTATTGGTACTTTTTTAGGCCCCAAAGGCAGGCCCGAGATGCGAGCAGACGGCTCACCGTAGAGGAGCGTCAGCAGCCGCACTGCCTCTGGCAGCCGGGTTTGGGGCTCGGGGTCGTCGTCGGAGAATTTGCTTCTTAGGCTTTGGGGTTTCGGGGTTTTGGGCGATGTTTTTTTTAAGCTCCAGGCAGTCGGCAAGCACTAAGGGGATTTTGGGGTTTAGGGCTTCGGGCTCTTAGAGCCTTAGGGCGTAGGCGTTGAAGGTGCTTCCTGTTTCAAACACTTCAGGGTGGGCTTGCCTCTGGGCGATTCTTTGTAGCACTAGCAAGGAACAACTCACTGGCACAAGGCTACTTGAATGGCATGCCAGAATGAAAGCCGCAAACGGCCCTTGGACACGAGATGGTGGCGATGACGACTGCTGCTACTGCGCCACTACTGCGACCGCTTCCGCTGCTACGAGCAGTGCTGCAGTATCATTGCTGATCATGCGATTCTTGCCATGACCCATATTGGGTGCAAATACCGGCATCACTGTCACCCAATCCGAAAAGAGGATCACAGCACATGCGCCGGCAAATACGGAGAAGCTTTACACGAGGCGACTTTGCAAGCCCGCGGGCTGCTTGGACACAGTGTCCAGCGTATCCTGGCTTACTGAAAGACACTTGCGATCATTTTGTTGGCTGTTGTTCATGCTGTTTGTTCAATGAAGCTTGGCGGGGTTGCGCAGCATTTTGCGAGAAGAGGAAAACGTCATCTGTCGGAATTGGTGCGGGGAATTTGTGCGGGGAAAGCAGCCAGCCAGCCAGCCAGCCAGCCAGCCAGTTCTTGGTCGGCTCTTCCGTCGGCAGTGTGTATCCATGCACGCAGATCGCCTATAGGCCTGCTCTAAACACATGTCCTAGTAGCTTCATTTCTGAGTAGCTTGAGAGTTCAACTCAATGTGTACTGACTTGATGCACCACACCATCAGTTTGAGAACTATCTACCGAGATGATCATTTCATGCCCTGAAAAGTCTCGCAGAATTGGCTTTACGCGTTAAGCGCTCATGTTTCAGCTCAGTTGCAGTCAGCTACCAGAGTCCACATCGCGGCACTCTGGATTTCACAACTGCTGCGAAAAACTTGCGATTTCGGCTGGTGCTGACTGGAATCTGGTTGGCTGACGTAAAAGCAATTTCAGATCTTGTGTTTCATGTGCGCCTTACTGTCGAGCTAGTCTGTTAGAAGCGGATGCACGGCGTGCAATTTCTTGTGTTCCATCTTGGCATTTGATTGTTTCCTCCGTATGTTACATTGATGCGTATGGCATTTGCTGTGATTGAGTCTTATGCGTTTGTACCCAAATTCGTTCCCGATGCTGCTGACAGTTTGTCCAACAAGTGTAAGCACACGTAGTTGTAGACAAACACATCGACAAGGAGAAAGATAAAACACCAGATGGACGGATAGATGACGGGAACCCTACACCATAAACCCCAAATCCTAAACCCTGAACCCTAAACGCGACCCTAACCATGAAGGTCTTCATCCCTCTAGAGCCTCCCTCCGTGCGCCGGCAGCATGCAGACTCGCCACGTCCAGGGCAGCTGCCACGGCCTCAACCGAGGGCTGTGCCATGCGCGTAGGGCCCTTGAGCTGTGCCTTGAACCTAAACCGCTTCACCCGAAACACCCGCATAATATGGGGGCCTCAAGAATTACCAATACTGTTTTGGGGGATCCTTATTACAGTTATAGCAAAATGAATTAAGAGCCCGATAGTAGAGGTGTGACTTCGGGTTTGGAGGTTTGCTCTTTCCGTGGGTTTTCTTTCGTGGGAGCGTGACGATGATGACCACCGCCACATCAGCAATAGTATTAGTAGTCGCAATAGAATAGAAATAGTAACCGTAATGACAAGTAACAGTAACAGTCATAGTCACGGTCATAGAAAAGTAACAGCAACAGTAATTGCAATAGCACTAGTAATAGTAATCGCAAGCGCGATGGTAATGGTAATAGTAATGACAGTGATTGAAATAGCAATGTAATAGCAATGGTAAGATTAAGAGATTAAAGGTAAGAGTAAGAGTAATAGTAAAAATAAACAAGAATAAGAGGAAGTCATCAGCCGAGAGAACTCAAAACCATCGCAGGAAACTGTCATTGACTGTCTGAAATAAAACCAAGAAGCCTGGAACCTCAAACACATCCGAACGTGATTCTGGAGCCAAGTGTCGCCAGCCGAGATGACGAAACCACGCTGCCCCTCCACCTCGGCGGCTGTCAAAAATGGATGGGTGTGTCTCAGTCATTCCATAGTGTCCTACATCGTTGGGGCCTTGAGAAGGCTCTGGTTTCGCTGGCCTCGAGTTGTTCAAAGGATTCAACAGAGTCCTCAAATACGTCGGCACAGGACCATAGTCAGAGTCTCTGCGCCCCAAATCCCCTGAACAGAGAAGACCCCACAGCCCCACGCTCCAAAGAGCCCTCAACCCAAAACCCTAAACCCTAAACCCTCAACCCCAAAACCCGGGACCCTTTTCGACACCTGGGCGATGGAGCGCAGCATCTTGCAAGCCAGAGTTTGCCTCTTTGGGTCTAATACTTGGAGGTTCAGGGGTAGTTATAAGTGGGGGGATAAGTCCCCGAATATGGGTTATAAGTATAGTTATCCTACTTCTAACCCTACTTATAACTACCCGTGAACCCCCAAGTACCTTGGTGTTGTTAGGATTGCCGCGGGGGCCTTTGGCTTTCAGGTCCTGGGGCTTGGGGTTTTGGGGCCCGGGCGATCTGCAGATCTTGAAAACGTCGCCGCATGCTGCCAAAATGCTGCATACAGCATGCTAAGACTGGACCCTACTTGGAGGGGCAGGGGACTTAGTAAGTAGGATATAAATAGAGGTATAAGTACCCTAAATGGAGTTACCCCAATTATAACCCTCCTTATAACCCTACTTTCTAAGTCCCCTGCCCCTCCAAGTAACGTGAACAGATTGACTGAAGAAGGGAAACCCCGAAACCCTGCAGACTCTCAAGATGGTGTACTTCATCTGGATTGCAGTTGCTCCCTTCCTAACCTCAAGGCAATGTGCCACATCAGGACCTTGGGTTTCGGTTCAAGCTTTGGGGCTTTGGGTCTTGGGTTTTGGGTTAGCCTCCAGGCAACCAAACCCTAAACCCTCAAACCCAAAAAGCCCTCAAACCCAAAAAATTGAAGAGAAAAATCGAAAAGCCCTCACAACTCTAATGACCCTGAAGCTAAGTTTGGGGAACCTGGGTGTCTCCGCAACGACAAGCCTCGACCCGCGCTGCCGCTTCCGCATAGCCTGAGATCGGAGCCCAAGCTCTCCTTGACACCCTAAGGGTTTAAAGGGAACTCCAGAAAGTTGGAATATGGTTTCAGGGTAGGATACCTTAAAATTTGCCATGTAGGGTTTAGGAGAATCATATTCCAACTTTCTGGCTTTTACTTTAGGGTTCAGGGTCCCGTTAGGGTGCACAGCCTCGCTCCATGGAGCTCTGTCGGCCCCTTTAAAGGGATCTATAGGGATTCTATAAGGGTATAGGGTTAAGGGCTAGGGTTTAGGGTATACTTGGAGGGTCGGGAGACTTAGTAACTGGTTATTTTAGGGACTTATAAGTACCATAACCCCAATTAGGGTCCCTTTTAGGCTACTTATAAGTCTACTTACTACCTACTTACTAACTCCCCCGACCCTCCAAGTACTTAACCGTTATAAGTGCGGGTCTAGAACCCTTGAAGGGAACCGTAGCCGAGTTCGAGCCCGCCACGTTTACCGCGCCCGATTAGCTTCCTCAATGGGATCATGTACTACAATGTACCTCCAGTCGGAAAGCGGTGTCATCGCTGGCGCGCAGGCAAGCTGACAAGAACGAACCAAAGTCCAGGGCTCGGGAAATGGCGGCTTGAGAAAGACCCTACATGTGTAGTAACAGTCAGATTCTAGTCTAAGGACTCCAGATAAGAGAGACCCCTCAGACCCTACATGTGTAGTAACAGTCAGATTCTAGTCTAAGGACTCCAGATAAGAGAGACCCCTCATGGCAGAAAGAACCCCGAAATGACTGAGTCACTTCTGACATTATAGCGAGTAAGTTTCAAGACTTATTCTTATGGTACATGAAAATGTCAGTACTGCAGAACTTACCCCACAACCCTGCCAAAATAACCAACTCGCCGACATTAGCCCTCTATAAAAACCCATTGAGGCCCGACGCAAAGCTCTTCTGAACCCTTGACTTGAACGCTCCACAGCGACCGTAATGAAATAATTGAAGCCCCTGGAGAAATGCCTGCCAAGCAGCCGACACCAGCTCTTCGATGTCGGGATGCTTAACCGGCTCCTCCCAACCAGTCAGGATTTTGCGGCTAAGGAATTCAAGGGTCCAGGTTTGCGGAGATTTGGGGTTAAGGGTTTCGGGTTTAGCGCTTAGGGCTTAGGGTTTAGGGTCTCTGTTTTTTTGAACGCCTTTTTAGGGTTTCGGGCTTAGGGCTTAGGGTTTCGGGTTCAGGGCTTCAGCGGCTCCAAACCTTCTCGGGAGCTCCGAGGGGTTAAGGTTCAAGCCCAGAGACTCCTAGGATCCCTTAATTAAGGAGTATACCCCTAAGGGTTCCTTTAAAGGGATCCTTAAAGGGATCTGTAGGGTTTAGGGTTTAGGGGATTCGACTATCCCTTAATTAAGGAATATACCTTAAATTATAGTAGGATCCCTAATATGACCTTCATTAAGGGATATTGGAGTCTCTGGCTCCCTGTTCGATTCAGTCGCCCTGCCGCCAGCCCTTGGCCCTAAAGCCTAAACCCTTAAGCCCTGAACCCTGAACCCTGAACCCTCAAGCCCTCAACCCAAAATCCTCAACCCTTAAGCCCTCGACCCTCAACCCTAAACACCAGCTTCAGAGACGCAGACATAAGTCGAATTCAGACTGGAAGCTGAAACCTCTGAAAGCTGAAGTCCAAGAGTCCTCGTCATGGCTCCGCTTGCCCATGATCCATGAGCTCTTGTGGTTTTAGGGTTTAGGGTTTAGGGTTTAGGGTTTAGAGTTTAGGGTTTAGGGTTTAGAGTTTAGGGTTTAGGGTTTAGCGTTTAGGGTTTAGGGTTTCGGGTTTAGGGTTTAGGGTACGGATCTCTGCAACTATCCTCTAGCCTGAAACCCAAAGCCCAGTTCTGGAGCCTGGGATCTCCGACAACACGAGGTGCTGTGGAGCTTCTCGATATTGCCCAAACCCTGATTGTCTGCGCCGAGACCCTCTTCCCTAAACCTCTAAACCCCTAAAGCCCTAAACCCCTAAACCCGAAATCCTGAACGGTTACGGTAACCTTGGTCCAAGATGCTCACGAGCTGACACCGATTATTTAGGGTACCTTTTTCCTTGTTTTTGACAACTACCCACATAAACAGGCGGTCATGCCATGCAAGCACTTGCCGAGTATAGGGGCCTCAATAAATACCTGTACTATTTTGAGGGGCTCCATATTGTATCTATATTTATAGTATAATGGGCCCAAACCCTATTCTAATTGTTAAGGCCCCTTTATTACACTGAGCTGAGAGCAGAAGAGTGTACTGGATGCAGTTGTTTGAGCCGAGCTCGTGCTCTCGACGCTTCCGGCTTGTGCGGGTTTTGCCCCTAGCTCTTAGGACTAGGAGCGGTTCTCCGGTGCACTTCGGAGTGTCAAAATCCGTCCGGCATTGCGGACTGGCACTTCAGCCCATCCGGGATTTGTGAAGCAACTTCATGGAGGCGCGGGGTTGCAGTAGCACACAGGCTGCTCCCAGCTCTTGTCGTTGCGACCGCAGTCAATCGTTCCGCTGGCGTAAAAGCACTTCCCGACTGTCCCCGAAGAACCAACAGGATCGAAGAAGATCCCGTAATTGCGGCCGTTAACTGCCGCAGTGCAATTGTACCCAAGACCCTCGAGCAAGCGTGTCGCCCTGGGATGCCGGTTGATCTCCGCCATCTGAGTGTCGTCGCAACCATGGGTGCACACGTCATCGCATGTATCACCAAGCCCTCCGATCTGCCAACGGGTGGCCTTAGGTCATCCGATCCGAAGGCCATACTTGGAGGCTCATGGGTAGTTATAAGTCCCTTAATATAGGTTAAAACCATAGTTATCCTACTTATAACCCTACTTAGAACTACCCATGAACCTCCAAGTACATCACGGCTACCACTAAGCTCCCCCGAGGCGCTAAGGGTCTGAGACCTCGCGGCTTGTCTCAAGGCCGCAATGCGGGTGTAGCGCTTGGGGTTTAGGGTTTAGGGTTCCTTCAACCTCGCCATCTGCCCGCCGTCAAGGAGAGCAGGATCGAGAACCCCGCCGTTCGGAAAGCCTAAACCTTTGGCACGCGCGCAGACAAGCCTAATATAGGGGCCTCAATAAATACCTATACTATTTTGGGAGGTTCCATATTATATTCATAGGACACTGGTCTCAACCAGGCAACATCTGGAGTCGTTGTTGCGGTTGTCGAGGAGCTGCAGTAGCACACCGGCTTCTCCCACTTCTTCGTGTTGACGTCGCAGTCAACAGTGCCGCTCGTGTAAAAGCACTTCCCCGCTGTCCCCGCCGTATCAGGAGGATCGAAGAAGACCCCGGTGCCGCGGCCGTCAACTGACGCACTGCAATTGTACCCCAGACCCTCAAGCAAGCGCGTCGCTCGCGGATGTCGGTTGATCTCTTGAATCCGGGATACGTTGCAGCCATCAAAACCATTGAAGTGACAGAAATCATTGCACGTGTCGTGGAGCTCTGCGACCCGCCACCCAGCCTGGCACGACACGAAGTCGGCACGCAGCTGCAGGGTAGTGGATATCAACCTACGGACTTACATGCATGCTCCTAAACTGACCTCCCTGTCCATGTGCTGCTTGCCCTCAGATGAGTTGACTGCCTGGCTATTATGACTAAGACATTGCGAAAAACAGAAGCTGCAAAATAGCTGGCTAGAAATTATCACCTGCAGTCTCCGAAGCACTTTACCTATACGCATGTGATTTGGCTTTGTCACAACCAGGCAACGTCTGGCGTCGTCGTTGCAGTTGTCACGGTGCTACACTGGCACACCGGCTTCTCCCACTTGGCACTGTTGACGTCGCAGTCAACAGTGCCGCTCGTGTAAAAGCACTTCCCCGCTGTCCCCGCCGTATCAGGAGGATCGAAGAAGACCCCGGTGCCGCGGCCGTCAACTGACGCACTGCAATTGTACCCCAGACCCTCAAGCAAGCGCGTCGCTCGCGGATGTCGGTTGATCTCTTGAATCCGGGATACGTTGCAGCCATCAAAACCATTGAAGTGACAAAAATCATTGCACGTGTCGTGGAGCTCTGCGACCCGCCACCCAGCCTGGCACGACACGAAGTCGGCACGCAGCTGCAGGGTAGTGGATATCAACCTACGGACTTACATGCATTCTCCTAAACTGACCTTCCTGTCCATGTGCTGCTTGCCCTCAAATGAGTTGACTGCCTGGCTCTTATGACTAAGACATTGCGAAAAACAGAAGCTGCAAAACAGCTGGCTAGAAATTATCACCTGCAGTCTCCGAGGCACTTTACCTATACGCATGTGATTTGGCTTTGTCACAACCAGGCAACGTCTGGCGTCGTCGTTGCAGTTGTCACGGTGCTACACTGGCACACCGGCTTCTCCCACTTCTTCGTGTTGACGTCGCAGTCAACAGTGCCGCTCGTGTAAAAGCACTTCCCCGCTGTCCCCGCCGTATCAGGAGGATCGAAGAAGACCCCGGTGCCGCGGCCGTCAACTGACGCACTGCAATTGTACCCCAGACCCTCAAGCAAGCGCGTCGCTCGCGGATGTCGGTTGATCTTTTGAATCCGGGATACGTTGCAGCCATCAAAACCATTGAAGTGACAGAAATCATTGCACGTGTCGTGCAACTCTGCGACCAGCCACCCAGCCTGTCGCAACACAGCGTCCACGCACGGCTGCTGGGAAGATGGTTATCATTCTGTGGATTCTATGTGGTGAAGTCACCGTTGTAACACGAAGTGATGTCATTTTCAGCAGCTCAACAGTTTGCAAAAAACAGTCACAAAACACACACACACACACATGGAGATCCGGTCTGTGCCGGTTGTTTTCTAGGTATTTTTTACCTTCGTTCTTTGTTTGATACGTCTTGTACCCATTGCAAATTTGTTGCATCTAGACTATCTTGAGTTCGAATATGAAGACCTCAGAAACTTCTTGTCCCCAGGTTTATCTCAAAGGTACACATACATTAGATGGGCAATACAATTGAATGTTTAGGACTCAAGGCTCATAAGACTAAAGATGCAAACCAGGACAAATCAGCGAGTGAAACTGCAGGTACAGAGCTATGCGTCCATAGCTCCTTCCACCCATCCCGGTAGCTTCGTTGGCTGGCATCACGGAATAGGCTGCCAGCCCCCTGCTTCTCTTCAGATACGATGCATGGACATAGAAGCTTCAATGACTCAAAATCCTTGGATAGAGGAGTTGCACACACACGATACCAGTAGAACCGGTTGTCAACAGGACAGCTAGACAAGGAAGATTACGCAGGATATGAAGAAGAAAGTAAAGTTAATCCCGAAGAATCGAAATCAACCCTTAAAAACCAGATCAGCATTCACGTCAGGTGAGACTAAAGCTCACTTATCCCTATTGTTCCTCAGATACGATGCACAACTACCAAGAAGCATTAGTAACTCAAAGTCCTTGGATACAGGATTTGCACACACACACACACACACCGGCCCAGTACAACTGGTTGTCAACAACACAGCTAGACAAGAAAAACCTGAAAGCCGAAAACGGTCCCTTTGTGCTCGAGTCATCCGATCAATGCAAGTGAAACCGATGTTCACTTCTGACATACATTTTGTCACTTAAAGTGACTGCTCTGAACTGTTGCAGGCTAAGCAGTGTGAAGCTCAGCAAAATGGCTAATTAGCTGCTCAACTTCTTTCACGGTGTACGACTGCACTTTCACTTCTTGAAAGGTGAATCTTCATTGGTGAAGAACATCTCTGCATTGCTTGAAGTTGCCGTCGAGGATGATTGAATCGCAGGTCGGTTGATAGCCGCTTTCTTGAGAATCCAGTTATATGTAACAGGAAACCATTCCCAGTACCAACTCTTTCCGGAATCAGGTGTTTTCCAACACCACCGCCATAGTACTCTGCTAGAAGGAGGTGAACGGCTAGAACGGCTACGTTCCCTTTGGCTATCCATACTGCAATGCTCAATCGCTGAAAGAAAACTATACAGCTGCCAAATGTAAGGTTGCTCAACATATGCTCAACACTGCAGATTTGAATGTCAAGCAAACAGGCACAGCACTGTAGGTATAACATTCTCTTGCCTGTCAAAAACTGTCACGATATGCTGAAACAACACCTATCTAGCTTGAGAGGGCCCTTGACCATAAGCAGGTTGTGTTGGAAGAAGCGTACAAACTGGAAATGAATCAACATGATGTTTGAAGTCAGATATGATATTATCAAGAGTTCCTCGGATCTGTCTAAGCTGGTTGAACACTTCGGCGGTGGCCTCAGTAACTTCTGTCATCTGTTGAGAAAGATCACGAACTTGAGTTTGAAGAGAATCCAGTTGTGTCTGCTGAATACGATGAATGGACTTCTCCTCTTCCTTGTACTGAATCGTGTCAGCTCGAAGAGATTGCAATTCGCTTTGAGTATAACGTATCCAGCGGTCTAAAGCCAACAAAGGTTCCATCGCTGAGTTATAGTTAGTGACTGTGCGTGAAAGCCTCCTCCAGGTGCAGTCCCAGATGTTCGAGCGCATGCGGACGTGTGCTAGCCATGTCGGCTGGGAGGTCTGTTTGGGGTTGGCAGTTTGCTAAAGGGTCCCCTCAGATCTCACATAGCTTTTCACATACTTGGCAAACAGCAGTTTAGAACTCTAATCTGAGTAGATCTGTACAGCTCAGGAGTACTTGGATGTTGTTGCGCCCGCCGTTGTGGTAAAAAAGAGGGTTAAGACCGTCTGGTGCTCTTGACTCTTGCCTGCCTTTCGGCAGGTTATGAGCCCAAGTCGGCTCTCTGTAGCGCTTCGCAATGGACTCTGCTGGTTCAGGCAATGAGCCTGAGTATGGTGGAGACAGTCAGGTTTTGGAGAACCTGCAAGGCCAAGGGCTTTCTGGGCTCTCAGGGCGTGGAGGTCTGTTCACAGGTGACCGCGACACTGGAGATGATGAGCCAGTGGTCAGGAGCAGTGCGGGAGCTGGTGACAGGACGCCTGAACAACAGGCAGCAGACATGCTGCTGCAGGCAGAGCATGCAGAAGGTTTGGAACCAGATTACGACTTTGAATCAGTGGAGGGCGGAATTGGTTCACCGCCGTTGAGGGATGATCAGCGGGAGCCGGGACAGGCTGTGGATGAGTCTGCAGGGATGATCGTGCTGAACAGGGAACTTCAGAGAGGAGATTTCGTGAGTGGGCTCCAAGGCTGCGTGACGGCCTTGTTCGTGGCCTGTCAGCAGCAGCTGAAGGATATGAGTACACCGGATCTAGGAACACTGTCGGTTCTGGGCGCGCATTGTCAATCGGAGTCACCCGAGATACTCAAGGAGCTGGACGCTGCAGACTGGTACGGCGAAAAGCCGGGTCAGAACACTTCAGGAGTCTTCGGGCTGAGATCTCAGTCTTCGAGCGATGCACGTGCTGACATGTTGGAAAAACTGGTTCAGCAATTGCTGGAGCAAAATGAGAATCTGAAGAAAGAGGTGGCAGAAGGCCAGTCGAGAAGCTCTGGTGAGTCTGTGAGACGGGTAGGACTTGCACAGCCTGTACAGGAGGATGTAGCGCCGGTAGGTAGGAGTAGCTCCGACTGCTTTCGAAGGCAGAGGAAACCGAAGGCCTGGGGACACTAAGCTGAGACCGGGTAAAGGGTTTGGAGTGCCTAGTCTAAAAAGTACTGATAGTGGTATACGGACCTTTCAGCCTCCTTGGACTAGCTTTCAGCGTGCATCTGATGCAGTTGCGCAGGGGTTCTCCTTGGACTCTGGTCCGGGAGATGATTTTCTCGCGGCCACCCAGGCCATGCAGTCCCAGAGGGTCCGGCTGAGCGTCACAAGGTTGCTGCTTTGAACACTGATTCGCAAGCAAAGGGAAAGTGAGAAGGGAAAACGCAGGGTTCAGGTGCCAAGGGTGCTGACACTGCAGGGTCGTCAGGGAAGGCGAATGGTTCCCTTAAGAAGCCATGCACGAGCTGGATCACGGATAAGGGATGCAGGTTTGGCAAGTCTTGTACTTTTTCGCACGCGGCAGAGCGGGCCGGGAAGTGCTGGGCATGTGGTGGTAGCCATCAGCAATCTGAGTGTGCTGCCCCTGGTGGAGGTAAGTATCAGAAGCCTCCGTCCAGCGGCCCTTCCGGGCACGCCGCTTGCAACTTCATGTAAAAAGTCCACGAGAATGAAGAAAATGCATAACCAGTTCCACATTAACCATTTGTCCTTGTTCTAGGCATCGATGCTTTCTCCATCGAGCATCTTGTCTAACATGAATCCCTGTAGTAGGGCTGCCCACGTAGAAGGTTTTGTTTTGCAACCATTGTCCACCAGCTGTGGGTTCTGCGTTGACATGAAGCAGCGCGTAAACTGCAAACTGTCGTTGCATCATGCTTGAAAAACTTTGTAAAGAAAGATGAGAAAGATGCGACAACCTTCGCTTCAAAGTTCGAACATGTTGACTACTACCTATGTTGTGAAACAGCAGAAAAACGGATAGGCATGCAATCATCACCCGACACGGAAGCCGAAGCCTGAAGTCCACTTGATGGCAATAACACGCTTGTAAAATTTGTAAAATGGCCGGTAATGCAGCAATCCAATGACCAAACATTGGTATAGTTTCCAACTCAACAAACGTGTCAATAGTTGGGCATCAGAAGTCAATCATGTAGAGCGCTGAAAGAATGATGCGCAAGCAATCTATGTCTTTGCACTTCCCTGAAACGAAAACTGGTACCCGGAGGGAGCAAACACGATCTTTAAGTTGAGATCTTTGCTCCTGATTGAGAGAAGCAAGAATACTGTCAGCCCTTGCTTGTACGTTTTGCAAGCCTTTTTTGTTGTGTACCTTAAGCTCAGTCCACCACTTTTTGATGGTGGTGGCCTTGGAACTTGAGGGTGCGTTTGTAGCAAGAGGGCATTCCGTAATCCCAATGTTCATGTCGACGAGGTGCTTGGTAAGACCACTCTTCACCGCAATCCTACGACGCTTGGAAGGCTGCGCCATGTTGGCTGTATCTGAAACAGGCAAAAAGCTAGACGACTGAGGTTTGTTCTTTTCAGCCAACTTAGCTTCAAGCACACGAATCTGAAGATCTTTATCCTCACTTGCAAGGGGCTCAAGGTGCGTAATCAGATAGTTAATCAAAGTTTGAACCTGCTTGCTAGGCTCTTCACCCTTTGAGGAAGAAGCAGCAGATTGAGGAATGCATTCAGGATGACGTTTGACACATTCCCTAGCCAAACTATCAATATCCCAACGTCTCTTGGACTCTCGAATTGCAGACAACAATCCAGTTGCCAACATAGACTCATTGATTTTACGACAAAAGACAATTGTCGTAAAGGAACCAGTCGAGAGATGACGAAGATAGAAATTATTCCTTCCTCCGTATGCTAACTCATGGAGCTTTAAATCGCTAATTTCACGCCCGGCAAGTCTGGGACCAGTTCGTAAGTTGGACTTGCCTAAAGAATTTGCGGCCACACAGTTCTCTACTGTCAAGGCATTGGCTATCAAGACGAAAATCAGCAGGAAGTTGAAGTTCTTGCTTTCGCTTCCCTTGAGGGCTCCTAAGTTCCTCATCTGAACCATCGGGATACCAATCTTTCCACGACGTCTTCTGATTGTTGTCATTCTTGTAATCGGTGGAGCCGGCCTTGTTCCAGGGATGATTGCTACCTTTATCTTCACGAGCCCAGGAATCCTTGTAGTAGGGCTTCTTCCACCAAGGTGCCATGATTGCAAGTGCAATGAGAAGATATGCCTGTTGCAACTTGACGAAGAAATGCTACAGGAATCAATCAAAAGATTTGCCTACAATCAAAGCAACATGTAGTGCAATCAAAGCAATTACCTTTCACTTGATCAGCGATTTCGAAGAATGTCATCAATGATACAACAGACAAACAAAAATCAGCCCGATTAGTTTTAACAGTAATCCGTGCAAATTAGACACGGACCTTCTTTACAGCAAAAGTTTTTAGTGGGCCAGCCAGCCTTCATCTTGTTGACTGCTGTGTTGATACGAGGGTGGTTGCTAGCACGGACAACTTTGATAATGGTCCCGTCTTTAGGATCTTGGAATGTTTCACCAATGTACACTGGGCCTTTTGCTCTCCAAGGAGGATACTTTAATTGAATAGGTGGTG